TGGATGGCTTACACAGTAATAACCAAGAATGTGAAAAAACCGTTAAAACAACCAATTTAAGTTAAAAGATTTTTTAAAATGGTAGGAAGGGATATAAACAGAGGACGTTCCATTAAAGTGGCAGACAACAGGCCCCACTCTATTATGGGGTCCGCGAATTAGTTGACACGTCGTTATTTAAGGAAACCCCAAAGCCTCCCTTTGAGGGAAGCAACGTTCCACGGGGCCCCAATACTGGCAGTCCTTGACTTACGACCAGAATAGAGTCCCAAATTTCCATACCTAAACAAGGCATTCTAAGTGAGTCTTGCCTCATTTTGCGACCTTTCTTGCTGGGGTTGTTAAGTGAATCCAGCTTCCCCGTGGCCTTTGCTGGTCAGGTGGTCGCAAAAGGGGGTCATCTGACCACGGACGCTGCAACCGTCATAAGTACGAGGCAGTTGCCAAGTGTCCGAATTTTGGCCACGTGACCCTGGGGATGCTGCAACGGTTGTGAATGTGAAAAACAGTTGTAAGTCAACTTTTTCAATGCCGTTGTAACCTCAGTCACTAAATAAATGGTCGTAAGTCGAGAACTTATCTCTTCTTAGGTCCTGCCTGACAACATTCCCCAGGTTATGGGACCGGAAATATGCCTCTCCTGCCAGTCCTCCCTAAGATTCTTTTTTTTTTATTTAAAGAAAACAATTCACCTTCTCGATATTGATCTGATGTTTCCTTAACCGCTCCAGATCTGTGGGAATGGCCACTTTAATGAACTTCTGGATGGATGGCTCGAGGCGACGCAAATTAACTTTTTCTTCATCTTTAGACATCTTTGGTGGTTTCAACCTGCACGGCGTAGCGCTCCGGTTACCTAGACGCAATTCGAAAGATTATTTATAGATGAATACAGCAAGGAAANGGAGGAAGCTGGGGAGGGGAGGGGGGCTGGCCAGTTACTGTCTCGCTTTGCCAGGGGGGCTGCTACCTGGCAACACCCACAGACTGTGGCCAGGAAACACTGTGGGGTGCAAAAGGATGGTTAAACTTTGGAAGGGACCTTGGAGGTCTTCTAGTCCAGCCCCCTGCCTAGGCAGGAAACCCCCCAGACGAATGGTTCTCTGACCTCTTCTTAAAAGCTTCCAGTGTTGGGGCATTCGCAACTTCTGGAGGCAAGGAGTTCCACGGATTCATTCCCCTCACTGTCATTTTGCTGAATGAGATACAGGGAGTCCTGGGCCTATGACTGCAGCTGAGTCCAAAATTCCCGTTGCTAAATGAGACAGGCTAATTAAGGCTAATAAAATTTCATTGGCAGGAGGGCCCCTCTTAGGCATCGCTTGATCTGGGATCCATGGAAGGAAAGAAGAGGAGGGGAGCAATGAAGAAGGGAAGGGAAAAGGGGAGGAAGAAAGGAAGGGAATAGAGGAGGGAAGGAAGAAGGGAAGGAAAAAGAGAAGGGAAGGAAGAAAGGAAGGGAATAGAGGAGGGGAGCAATGAAGAAGGGAAGGAAGAAGGGAAGGAAGAAGGGAAGGGAAAAGAGAAGGAAAGGAAGAAGGGAATAGAGGAGGGAAGCTCCCTTTCCCTCCCTTTCTTATTTTCTCCTTAACTTACTTTTTCTTTCTTTCTTTTCTTTCTTCTTCCCTCCCTCTTTATTTTCTCCTTAACTCGCTTTTTCTTTCTTTCTTTTTCTTTCTTTCCTTCTTTCTTTTTCTTTCCTTTCTTTCCTTCTTTCTTTTCTTTTCTTTCTTTCCTTCTTTCTTTCCTTCTTTCTTTCTCTTTCTTCCTTTCTCCTTCTCTCTCTCTCTTGTGGGGTGAGCACACCCCACTCCTTACCAGCACTGATGATGTTCTTTAGTTAGGTCATGAAATGTCGGTAAGAAAACAGCCAAGTTCGGAGAGTACCAAAGACCCCACAGTCCTCCTTCCTCTCCTCTCTGCACACACCACTCCCTTCTAGCACTGATGATGCTACCTAGATGGGTCATGAAACATCTGAAAGAAAACCACCCAGCTCAGAGACCAACAAGAACACTTCAACCCTGAGCTACATCTCCTTTATGGATGACTTGCTTCGTTTCCAGCAGCCCAAAAGTTTTTCTTCAAACTTCTGTTACTTCCTGACATCCAAGTGAAGGCTGCCCATCATACAGAATACTTGGTCCCCTTTCACTACCTTCCCCCCCCTCCCCAAATGCATCCGCTGGTCAAGAAGGAAACAATAGATTTGTGCGGGCCAAACTGGACCTCGAGCCAAGGAAATGAAAGCCCAAGAAATGAATTTGCAGCTTTAAACGGTGGCATAACGTTGCACGGAGTTTGTTTCTCTCTCTCTCTCTCTCGGATTGGAAGAGAGCCTTTTGCATTTTATTTCCAGGGAAATCAAACACAAATCAATACCGCTTAGAGCTGAAACAGGAGATAAAAGAAATCCCCAACTGCCTCAAAATTTGATTCCAGCTTCTGGGGCTTGAAGTATTTGTCCACTTCTGCGCCAGGTGGACTCTGAGAAGTCTCCAATGTTATTTTCTCTGCCCGGGGTTAGGCGCCCGGGGAGGCCGCATCGCTCGATTCCTGCTGGTGGGTGGGGCTGGAGGAGATACGGATGCCCCCCCCTCCCCACTGTCATTTAGAAGACCTGCGAAGACTTGGCTCTCCGCTCAGGCCCTTGGCTGAGAGGGAGAAGGGAAGAGCCCTCCTCGCTCCAGCGTCATTCTGCTGTCTCTCTTTCCCCATCTTTTTGCAGATTTTATTTTAATGCTTTCGTTGGGATTGCTAGGAGCCAGCGAGAGTGGCTGAGACCCAGACAACATACTCGGTGGGAGGGATGGGCTTGCAAGAGTGGGAAAGAGTGCATTCCTCTAAGACAGTCTTTCCCAAACTTGTCAACTTGAAGATGTCCGGACTTCCAACTCCCAGAATTCCCCAGCCAGCATTCGCTGGCTGGGGAATTCTGGGAGTTAAAGTCCGGACATTTTCAAGTTGCCAAGTTTGGGAAACACTGCTCTAAGAAAGCTAAGCTTGGTTAGTTTAGATCTTGGTTAGCTCAAGGATCCCCTTGCTCGGAGCCCAAGCAGGCTCCTTGGGGTCACCCACCTTTTACTGATGGAAGAGAATGTTTCTAGCCCAAGGGTTGAACCGTGGGGTCCTCGGTGCTCTCTGAGCTTGGTGGTTTTCTTGCAGACAATTAATGACCCAACTAGGTAGCATCATCAGTGCTAGTAGGGAGTAGAGGTTGTGGATAGGAGAGGAGGAGGAGGAGGAGGAGGAGGAAGAAGAAGAAGAAGAAGAAGAAGAAGAAGAAGAAGAAGAAGAAGAAGAAGAAGAAGAAGAAGAAGNTCAACCTTGAGCCGGTAAGATTTGAACCGCTGAACTGCAGATAGCAGTCAGCTGAAGTGGCCTGCAGTACTGCACTCTACCCACTGCGCCACCTCACCTCACAACGAAAAACAAGTCACCCCTTTTAACTCCGTCGAAAGCATCGATTGCAAATCAGGCTAAGACCTCCGGGGAGTCCTGTTGACTTACAACAGTTCACTTAATGACCATTCAGCGTTAGAAGGGCACTCAAAAAAGGGACTTGTGACTGTTTTCACACTTACGGCCGATAGAACATTCCCCACAGTCACGCCGTCCAAATTCAGATGTGGGGGAAAAAAACAGTCACAAATCACTTTTTCCCAGCGCTTTTGTAACTTCCGTCACCAATCAAAGGGTTAGGAATCCAGGATTATCTATAATGCTGGCGGGGGAACGCAGGGAATTGAAGTCCATGTGTCTCAGAGTGGCTAAAGTTGGAAAAATATTAAAATACATGAAAAGGATTATCCTTCAGAGGATAATCCATGGCCGGAAGGGACCTGGAGGTCCTCTAGTCCAGCCCCCTGCTTAGGCAGGAAACGCTACACCACTTCAGACAAATGGATAAATAAATAAAACGGGGCGACGTTATCCCAGCTCTGCTCTCCCCAGGGATGATCTACCAAGGGTTCATTTCCCCAACAAGAGCTATGCCGTCTTCTCCCACGGACGTCTACGGCCGCCGTCCCCTTACCTGGACGGTACGGCCGGCGTTGATATGTTCTTCGTGCAGTTTGTCCCACAGCCTGCACCTCTGATACTGAAGGCAACGGAGAGAAAAAAAGAGCAGGTATCAAAAATCATGGCATCTCCTCCATCAGCCCCCAGTCAAACCACACAAGTATTTTGAATTTTGCTTTTGGCCCCTTTTCTTAGGGAAGTGGGAAGCTCTCGAGAAATTACACCTGAGACATTTCTCCGTTGGAGGGAGGGTGGATCTCTGTTGAATTTCAACAAGCGGCAGTTTCTGGAAGTGGGATCAATGCCCAACGTTTATGCTGGAAATTAATTCATCAAAATAAATTTCCTGACAGGGAGAAGAATGAATCAGTGGAACGACTTGCCTCCAGAAGTTGTGGATGCTCCAAGCCTGGAGGTTTTTAAGAAGAGATTGGGCAGCCATTTGTCTGGAATGATATATGGCTTCCTGCTCTACTAGGGGGTAGACTAGATGACCTCCAAAGTCCCTTCCAACTCTACTCTCTACTCTACTCTGTCCTNGAGCCGGTGAGATTTGAACAGCCGAACTGCAGAACTAGCAGTCAGCTGAAGTAGCCTGCAGTGCTGCATTTAACCACTGCGCCACCTCGGCTCCATTCTCCAATCAATTGGGCAGCTTTCAGATGAGCGGACTTCAACTCCCAGAATTCCCTAGCTTTGCTAATCCGCTCCTCTGAACCACAGTTGAGAAACACAATTCCAGATCTCTGATAAGCAACAAGCAGAAAATTCCACCACCACCCCCTCCAAAAAAACAGCCTGTTCTGACTTTTCCTGACCGTGGCATTTTAAAACGAGAGGTAGAAGCCAACTTTCCAGACCGGAAAAATTAAAATTTGCAAACCAAAGCCCTCCCACCCCACCCCCACCTCCCCGAGGCGAGATTTCCCCGCACCCCTTCACCTGACCTCTATCCCGCCAGGAGCCCAACTCTGCCACCGCAAATTCAGCTCCCGAGAGTCCAGGAGCATTAAAACCGACAAGTGTTAAAAAAACCAAAACCCACAGGATTTGTGCGCTCGGGACGAACGGAAGTATCCAGAGACTGAAAAAGGGCCACCTGGGCGGCTTTCTTTCCGTTTTTAACCTGGGGGGAAAAAAGGCATTCGGTGAACACTGTGGAGAAGAGTCCCTGAAAGAGGAAGGAAAACAGGTGGGAGACATCCCTTCGGAGCTCACCTTCCCACGCCGCGGGTGAGGTGTGCCAAAGCGTGCCACGCTTGCCGCCTTCCCCTGGCGCACGTCAGAAAGTTTTTCCAGGGTGACTTTTTTGTCCCTTTCACATTCTCAACAGGAAACGTTTCCAGCAGGGGAAGAAAGATGCTTGTCCCAGGCGGGCAGCCGTGATGCCAGCCAAGACGGCTTGAGGGCCCCCCTACCCCCCGGTCCTCAGCTGCCCCCTTGGTCGCTCCGCCCGGGCAAATCGGGGCAGCTGGGAGAGGAGAGATCCTTGATCATCTTCTGCTTCTTCCTCTGAATGAGTTTTCCGCCGGTGAAGCCCAGCACGCCGCCTCCCAAAGCCGCCGCCAGTCCGGCCACCTTAAAGCCGGCCAGGAGCCCGATGGGCCCCCCCACGATCCCCCCCAGGAGGGCGCCAGCCACCGGGAGGGCGGCCAGTTTGTAGGTCGCAGCCTGGGGAAAAGAGAGGGGCAGAGAAAGGGTCATTTGAAGAGCGGGGTGGGTGGGGGTGGGGGTCTCCTTGGCATCATCCGGCAACCCCACCCTCCCTGTAAGCAGGAAAAGACGGACTGGGGAGGATGGGTAATGGAGTCCTCCCGGCTTGCAACCCCCGAGAGCAGCTGGTCGAGACCCACCTTGGATAAACTCTGGGTCCCCTCCTCCACATTCGCGACGGCAGTGCAGACGTTCTCTTCGATCCGGTCGACTTTCTCCTGCTGGGTCTACGAGAAAAGCCCAGATTCATTTACGTACAGGACGCAAAAGGTGGCAAAAGGGGATCATGTGACCAGGGACGGGCTGCTGCCAGAATTATTGCCGGTTTGGTGGGTATGTAATTTTGCATGCGCGTTCTCGCTTCGCTTGTGCGTGTGCACAGTTGCCCATAAATAGGTCTGGCCATGCGCAGAACATTAAAAAAATGGGGGAGAAACCCACACAATGTCAACCAGGGAAGTGGTTTGGAGGCGTGGTAGGCCTGGGTTGCTGCCAGTTCCGTCAACCCAGGTTGGCAAACCACCACCGATTCGACCGAACCGGTAGGAACCAACCTCTACACATAACGATAGATAGATAGATAGATGATAGATAGATGATAGATAGATAGATAGATAGATAGATAGATAGATAGATAGATAGATAGATAGAT